GATGGATGGACTTTTCTCCTCTATGCTCTGTGAAACTCTGTCTGCAGTTCAGCCAAACAGTCGCTGAAAGAACCAAAGAAACAAACACAAAGAGACACAAAACAAAAAGAGAAAGAAAACATGAAAGAAACGACAGACTGACTAAAGAGACACAACATGAATACGACCAGACACACAGGTCCTCGTGTTTGCACCCATTAACCCAGAATTTGTAGTTTCTTATAGAGTCCGTTTGCTGCAAACGGTTTATTCTTTAGGATTATTTTATTATCAAAGATGCAGAATCAAGTGGTTTTGAGGAAACATCACGATTTAAAGCTCATGTTTGGTTTGTTTGCCAACAGAACTGAGAAGAAGTTAAAAACATGTTAGTTTGGTTGGTTTTATACGAAAAAGGAGAATTTTAATCGTCGCTTTAAAGCGTTGGACAGTTTGTCTGCTTCCATCAGTAGGAGGTCAGGATCAGACCAGGAGGCCACGTTTCAGGCAGAACCTGCAGGAACAAGCAGAAACCAGCTTTGTTCAGCCGAGAATGTCTGACATTCAGCTGAAAGCAGAGTTCAGAGCAGCGTGACCGTCGCTTCACGTTTCTGTCGGACGCTCCAACACCAACGTTTCATCCGTTGGTCGTCTCAGTTTGTTCCTCCGTCCGTCCTCAGATCCCTCCATCCTCCATCTTTAATGTCCTCATTAAGCTCATGTTCTATTATTCATCTCTTCGTTTCCTTCCTCGCCTCCTTCTCCTGACATTTCTTTCCTCCTCTCTTCTTCTTTTTTCCTTCCTCACATAACATCTTAAATATCGTGCTCAGTTTTCTTAAACGAGACTCTGACTCATTAAACTCTAAAGAAAATATGAAGAATTAAACTCGAGCGTCTGTTCAGGACGAAACCACGACTTGTTCAAGAAAATGTGCAAAATCAGTTCAAACACGACACGATTAAAGAAAGACTGAAGTAGACGCACCGGAGGAGGAACCAGATCCAGGTACAGGATGAAACTTCAAAATAAAAGGTCCAACGTGCTGATTTACATATTCATTTAAAATCTCTGTGATCAGCTGTGACTGTTGCTCAGATGTGGGTTTATACGTTCTCTGAGCGTTCTGTGATGCTGCTGAATCAGTCCTGATGATCAAACTGCAGAGTTCATGTT